TTTTATTAAAATGTAATTCTGCCAGCCCATTTCTACAAACAAATATTATATTTTTAATTGTGTTGGGATTGTCACCTGTGGACATTTTAAACTGTTTTACATATTTGTGCAGAGGCATAGCCTCTAAAGAAAGGTTGTCTCTGCAATGGAAATAGTTGTTCCTGGTGATTAGACATGGCAAGTAAACTTGGACTCATATCCAGATGAATTTTATGTTTTATTAAAGTATTATTCTAATTCAGAACATCCCTTATGAACTGATGTCTGGGCTCATGGCAAACACAGTCTATTACTTGAAATTTAAAAGTGACTGATCTTGATTTGGACATGAGGTGATGTGAAATGGCTCTAGAGAACTGACATTTGGCCTGCTGTAATGTGCATTTTGTAACTTCTAATTTGAAAATATCTGATCACAATTTAAGCTGTAAACCACCATGACTTTTTTTTAGTCTTTCTGTCTTATGGGAACTGTGAGGACCTTTTTTTCAAACTCTTTGTGAGTTCAGCCAGACCCACAATGAGGTTGACCAAATGGTGAGGTATGAAAGCCCAATGTATCCAGATCAGATTGTTCCCTGAAATATTCCTGGGGTTTTTGACCACCAAACCTATTGGGATATATTCTTGGACTGAAATTTGTTGCAAGTCTGATGCTGCTCAGCTATTCCAGTTTTCTTATGTTTGTTTCATTTAATTCCATTAGTTTTATTAGATAATTAAAAATATACAAATTGCTTATTAGAAATAAATACTAATAAAATATAAATAAGTTTAAAGTTTAGTAATATACTACAGCTAATATAAATGATTGTAGTAATGAATTCACATATTGAAATATGAATTATTAAATAACAATTTTCAAAAGAAAATGAAGATTTTTACATTATAAAAAATTTTTCATATTTTAATGTAAAATAAATTTTACATTAAAATATCTATTAAGTTGAATTTATTTTAATTTTGATGCTTTCAAATACAGTAGTACCCTGAACTTACGCAATAGATGGGACCAAGCGATAACTGCGTAAGTCAAATTCGCATGTCAGAGTATAATTTTGCAATTTGTGTAAAATCCAAGTCAAATGTATGTAAGCTAATAAATGTTCTCGTTAATCTTATCTCGTTTTTTGATTCGTTGATGGTTACATCTACATTGTTATATCTACAGAGACTTGAGAGACTCTATGTGGATCACCACATAGAGTCTCTCAAGTCTCTGTAGATATAACAAATACAGAAATAAATAACACAAAATAAATTGTAGCTATGTGTTGATTCCACATGACACATCCAAACATGTAAGCTGAACAATAGCACGGGGGGAGTGAGTAATCAAGAGTTGCGTGGCACTCAAACAAAAGACGAAGCGACAAGATTTGAAAATCACATAACTCCGGGTTTGTGTAAGTCAAGGTATTACTGTATATAATTTCTAAGCAAAGATTAAAAATTTTGAATTTTCTAACAACAACATTTTAGTAGATACTTATAAGAAACCAAATATTATAAAATATTTTGTATATACAGTATTATAGAATAAGAAATTTATCTTTAATTGATTCACTTGATATGTCTGAAGAATCCAATCAATTACTGTAATCTTGTGGCTAATCTGTGGCATCAAATAGTTTGTAGAAAATTGCTAATGCTAAAACTGAAATAAAACTTTGTGGTTTTATTTCAGTTCATAACTGCATACCTGCACCTCTGTAGCAGCCATTGAATGCATGATATTTACTAGTATAGAGTTTAGAAAATATCATCTCAAACATTAAAGTATTGATTTTTGCTTTGCTTCCATTAGCAGTTCATTGTGATTAAAATAAGTGAAATGGAAGAACAATACCAAGACAGAATCTCCAAAATTTCACAAATGGAGAAAACAGAAATTGCTACTGAACAATAAAATTTTTTTATTTTATTGCTTCATTGGTTTCATTTTATTTGGTAAGGTAATTCCAATTGATTGAATTCTTCTTATGAATAAAATAAATGATAATACTTATAAAGTTTATTTTAGAATTATTTTCCATTTAATTCTCTTCATGTCCATAGTATCTAATGAGCTTCAGCAGGGGTGGATCTAGGATTTTTGGGGCCTAGAGCTTATTGAAATCTAATGGGCCCCATTTTTTGTTAGATTAAGAATCTTTAAATTGGGATTTAAAATTGCAACTTGGTGACCTGACCAACTATGTTATATTGATTACAATAAAATAAATAAAACTATAAATTATCATTATTATTATAATATTAATATTAACTATTTTTTACTATACAATAAGTGCTCATTGTTAATGAAAAAGTATTAAAAATTTATGATGATAATTCAATTTTTGTGGGCCCTTGACACTTGAGGGCTCAGGGCTTAAGCCCTATTAGTCCCTATGTAGATCTACTCCTGGGCTTCAGAATTGATTCATATATGAACAGACTTATATGGCTTTACCATGTAAGGTTTTTATAAGGAATCTTATCTTGTTGTATTGTAATGGTCAGAGTATCCAACAGGATACTGAAATTCTATTTCCTTTATCCAATTATTGTTTAGAAAATGTTATGTTAAAATTTATTTTACTGTTGTCTTATAAAACTTAAGTTATTAAATAATGAATTTGAGTTATATGAATGGTATCATCATTAGTTTTGATTTCATTAGTAAAGTAGTAAAAAGCAATGCTAAAACATGAAATAATATGTATTACAACAGTCAAGTTAGGGCTATCATTTTAAATATATAATTATTTTAGTCATTAAAATTCTTTTTAGATTCTTTTCATTACTGTATAACCTATTAGCATTGCAATCAAGTCAGGTATCTTAATTGATACCAGACCACTCATCAAAAATGATCTTGAAAAGTTCATCTTTCATTAAACAGAGGATAAATGTATAATAATAATAATAATAATAATAACTCTCCCGTGGTCACCACCTGGTCGTGGTGGGAGAGCCCAGTAATTTTACTGATCCATAGGGCAATGCAGGCTGGAGCACAAGCTCCTGGTAGGGACACCCATGCCAGTAAGGTCTATGGGGAGAAATGAAGNCTTTTTAATTTTTATTATAAAAAATAATAACAATTTTATTCTAAAAAAATGCTATTGTAAAAAAATTATCTAATAACATTTAAATAGTATATAAATATAAATATAAAAATTTTTTGTGTTATTAATTTCGAATACATATTATTCCGAAACCTTCTTATTGGTGCCTTTATTAAATCAGCACCTATGGCGGGAGCCACATTGGCCATACCCTAGTTACGGCTCTGGGAAGAATTATCAAAAATTATCAAAACATATCAAGCTCAAGTAGGAATATCTAATAATATTAAAGTGTGGATTGATGTACAAAAATTAAGAGAAGAGAATCAAAGACAAGGCATATGCATACATGTCTTTGATTGTTTGGAGAAAAATTGAAATTGGAATGGCAAATGACTGTCAGTTATATGCAATGTATTTTTCATATTTTTTAAAGAATTTTTGGTTAAGTTTAGACAAAGGAAAAGCAGTTTGATAAGTTTCTAACTACAAGTTAAAATTGGAAGATAACCTGCACCATCACAAAGTCTACATAAAATTACAGTTCTCATTTATTCTAAATAAGTTATTTGGATTATTTCATAATTTTGTATATCAGAATCTGATTACAAATTATGTCAATTTATAACCAAAAACCCTATTGATTTTTTATTTTTTACCTAATTCTAAATTCAAATATAAAATTATAAATATTTTAAAAATTTGAAAAAATATACCCACCTAACTCTTTTTTTTACATGATTTTGAAATAACACGGTCAAAGAAAAACCTCTGACGGGATTTAAAAATTTAATAAAATAAAAAAAATTAAAAGTAGAATAAAGAATTATCATCAATGTGTGCAAATGAAACAAAAGGAAGATAGAGTTAATGAAAAGTAATTTATTAGTTCAAGTAAGGTTTTTGAAGTGTCATTAGCCCATAATGTTTTCATCTGAGTGCAGTGCATAGGTCATGCTAATTAGTTATATTAAAGAATAAGGTAGAAATGATTTTTTTACAAGTTTGTGGTATTTCTAATTTACAAGTTTTACAAGTCTGACTAAAATATTTTACTTATAATTTTTACAGTAGATTACGAGTTTAAAATGTCTAAAATTAGAAAGGAAAGAATAAGAAAAGTAATCTCACTAGAACAAAAATAAAAAACTTGGAACCACAAATCATGAAGGTTCAAGATCTGTGGGCAAAATTTTTGACTTAAATGAAGAAACTGTCAGAAAGATTAAGAAAAATGAGAATTCTATATGAAAATATATCATCTGTGGATCAAAACTTAGCTCAAAAGCATCATTGTACAGTAGAGATTAGAAAAAATCTTAGAAAAAATGGAAAATTTATTGGTGCTTTGGATTGAGGATTTAGTGCAAAAGAGGTTGTCTGTGGATGGAAATATTATAAAGCAGAAGGCACTAAAATTTATAAAAAAAAAACTACAGGAATCAGATCCATCAACAAATCTTCAAGCAACTCAAGGTAAAAAGAAGGAATTTTCTGTTAGTGAAAGATGGCTGACAGGATTTTTAAAAAAATGTATTTCACAATATTAAAATTAAAGGGGAAATTGCATCTGTTGATGAAAACACTACCAAGAACTTTTCAGAAAAACTAGCCAAAATAATAAGAGAGGGTGTCTATGTTCCTGACCAGATTTTCAACACTGACAAAACAGGTGTACTAGAAGAAACACACTTTTTTACATGGTTTTTTGAATGAAATATAGTTATTTATTTCATCTTACATGGTTTTTTAATAACTTGGAATGTATCTCCCATTCTACTATAGGAAATATATTTTTTTGCACTGTTTTTTTACATGATGTTTTGAGGAATGTATCTTCCGTGTAAAAAAAGAGTTGGGCATATATATTCAAAAATATACTAATTATAATGTTACATAAATATTAAATCTTAAAAAATTTATTTATTTTTAACACTTACCTATACCAATAATAGCACTAATCTTGTTTAAATGGCCAACTTAAAATCTTGGCAGACTTGCAGGGTGTCCAGTAACTAATTAACAAATAAATAGATATTTAATCATTTGAAAAATTTTAATATTTTTAAATTGTAAAGAATTTAACTTACATGACACAGGCACAAAGGGTTGCTGCACTTGCAAGGCCAAAGCTTGCTGCACATAAGTAGTACCACTTGGCTGATAGACTGGGAGGCCATTTTTATCTAGAGCTGGACGTTTCGTGTAAGGAACCATTCCAGGAAAAGCCTAACGAAAAATGTTTATTGATATTAAATTCAAATACGTATTTGAAATTTCTTTTTATAAAACAAAAAATTTTGATAAATTTTTGCAAACAATTTGAATCATATTTTAATTAATGAAAAACCTTTAAATTGAAGACAAATGATACAAGTAACACAATAAATTAGCATCGTTATTATTATAATATTAATATTAACTATTTTTTACTATACGATTAATGCTCATTGTTAATGAAAAAGTATTAAAAATTTATGATAACAATTCAATTATAGTAAGCCTGTCACACTTGGGGGCCGAGGTATTTAGCTCTGTGAGTGCTTCTGCAGGAGACAAAGAGATAGGAAGTGACCTTGATTCCTACTTCTAAGCGCATGTCTCCTGCATGCTTTTACTGGCGTTAAGCTTTNTTTAATTTTGAAAGAAACATGTTTGTTTTAAACAAATAGTGCATAATCTTATTCTGTAGTAACAGATTTTTAATTTCATTCTTAATCTTTAATGCTGAGTAGTAATCAGTTCAGTAACTCTGGCTAATCTGAATGCCACTTAATTCAACCAAATTTGTTAGTTTTTCTCTAAATGTTTCAACAAAAAAACCCAGATTATTTTTTTATAAAGATTTAGTTATAAAATTAATATATTGCATAGTTAAACATAAATGTGTAAGCACCAAGTATATTTTGAAAAATTTTACTTATATTTTAAAAATTTGAGTTAAATTTCATTCTGTTCCTGAATGACAGTTTCTATATTAACTTGCAAATATGTTAAAATCTATACTATAATTTCATTTAGAATTTTTAGCAAATAATCATTCCAAATATCAAATTACAGAGTTCTATATTAAAAAAAACTAACAGAACTTTGTAATATACTCCAGTTTCAATTGTATGCAGTGTATGAGATCATGCATTCTCTAAACTGATCATGACAACAGAAAATGGGAGGTGAAAAGTATGGTGCAAATACTTAGGCTAAAGAACAGTATAAGAGAGACAGGTGGGAATAGGCCTACCAGAGCAGCTGTGTTAGCTCTTGTTTGAGCAGCCTTTAGCTGTGCCTGCAAATGTGGCGGGGGATGGTAGTAGCGACACTGATCCCGCGTGCAGCGACCCTTCACGTAGTCCATGCACACTGTCACCATACCTTCTGTACTGTCAATGGTCACGTGGTCGGGTGGGTGAGCGAAGCGGCACACAGTATCGGCACGCTTGCAGTTACCACGCCGATACTCCCGACATACCTGCACGGGGAAGAGCAAGAAAAGCAGGCCAAAGTTAGGACAAGCAGCCACAGATAGAGAAAAGGGTAGGAGCTGTGCAGGAGATGCTGTGGGAATGGGTATGGACAAGAGATCGTTGCAGATCTAAAGCCGGGCCAGAAGCTGTGCTAAAGAGGAATTCACATTTAAACAGATATCCTTACCTCAGCGTCACATTAGAGCATACAAATAATTTACTAATCTTTCATTTTTTCCTAACACTTTTATAATATTTTCAAAAAATAACTGGATTTGGGAATAGATCTGTGTTAGAATTTTCAAATTTTGGCATGTGTTAATTTAATTAATCAGAAAATTTAATGGAATGTCAATGTCAGTGAAATATTTAACAAGATATATAAATTGTAACTACCAAGTGAATTTAGAAACTATAAAATAAATTTTCATAAATTTATGACCACAAATAAAGTTTTATGGTAAAAAATGCATGCCAATTATCAAAAAATTGAATCATATTGCATACATATTGGATTTTAATGAATGATACATAAATATAAAGGACAATTTAGTTTGAGATATTCTAATTGTTAAGTGGAGAAGAAGCATCAGAAATTGATTAAGTTTAGCCATTAAAGAAGATATATTATTTTATTAGAGGCAGAATAAAAAAAGGCAGAAAGATAAGTAAGCATCTGTGCATGTATTGATTATTGTTAAAGTAAAATGAGTTATTTAAATATCATTATACTGTTCAATTCATTTGCATTTTTAAACAATCACAAAATTCAGATGTACAAAGTTTAACTATAATAAAATACTTCAAAGCAATCATTAAAATAATCATTTTTATCATCATTGAAATTTTATTTTAATAATTTATATATAATAATTTACAGAATTCTTTTTATTTAGTTGATAGTTGATAGTTTTAGATTTAAATGCTTATGATTCAAAAATAATCATCATAAAAGATTAAGCAGTTATCTTTCTTTTTCTTTTTAACATAAAATGTTGCATTAAGTTTAGAAAAGAGTAAACAAGCTTGATAATCACTACACCAAATATAGAGATGGCATTTCATTTTTATATCAAATTAGAATTATCAGAATTGATGTTTCTTAATTAATACAAATATAAGAAAACTTCATAAAACATTTTGAAGAATTATATTTACTTTTAACTGGATTTAACAAATAAATCCAAAGTATAAAGTATAAATATTATCATTAATAAATTACAATTTTTCTGATAATCTCAATTTGTGAAAAGAATCTTTTTAACTATTATTATTATCTTATGATGCATATTTTAAATTTGTACTAACACACATTGATGCTTTATGCTAGAAGTATAAAGTAATTTTATGCAGTAGAATTCTTTGAATTGTTACAAAATACATTTATTTCTCCTGATGATTATAATTTTCAAAAAGATTTTTTTTAAAACTTTTTAATAAAGTATTGCAAAGTAAGTAATGAAGATCTTTTTATTTTGTTATATACATGCACAGATTAAAATGAGATATGAATTTATTATTTATTTAACAGAATTTTAATCAAACATTGTTATGTTTTTAAATTTATTCCCATAATTTCCAGCCATAAAATTTCTTTCTAAAGAAAATTTTGTAGTTAAATATTTAAACAAATTAATAAATCAGATTGAAGCAAATTGCAAAAACTTCTTAAATTTGCTTTTTCTTTTTTTAAAAATCGATTTTAGAAATACCAAAGTTTCTTTTATCTACAGCTATAAAAATCACAAAATAAAAAAAAAATCTTTACAAGGTAAAAAATTAATGAAGCATATTGCACAGCTCCTTCCCTCAATCAGAATAACTTTAAAAATTGAAATAATTATTTCTATATTCATTGACTAATCCTGAAATATCTTTCAAATAAATTTTAAATTATCTTGAATTTATATATATTTTGATCATAATTATAATTTTAATAGTAAATTAATATTAAAAATTTTTTGGTTCTAAACAAGCCAATTCTTAAGTTAAGATCTTTCTTACAATATAATTATAAACAAATTACTTTTAAAAATCATCTTTTAAACCAATTAATTTATTTATTTATATTATTGTTTTTGTTATGAAGGATGTATACATTAATCCAATAATTTTACTGTGGTTAGAAGGAAAGTCAACTACAATATAATTTATATAATAGTTTGGCTTTCCTGTATGACAGGACGCAATGTAGTAAAGACTGCTTTACAGGTGCACTTGTATGTTAAATACGTTGGAAATGAGAATATCTACTTTAATATATTCTATGGATAGAAAATATAGTCAGATAGAAAGATCTTGCCCTGATAAAATAGAAAAATTATCCCAAATTCATGCATCATCCATTTTAGAAAATTCAAAAATGCATAGTTTTCTTATGAATAAAAATTATTTTAATTTTAATTAAACTAGTGAATGTTTTATTACATGTGAATGTTTTATTAAATTGTTCTAAGTTATAAAAATAAATATTTATTAAACGAAAATATAAAACAATTTCTCACCTCCAGTCGATCAGCCCGAGGTAGCTTATGAGCAGCCACCAGAGAGGTAGGAACAACACTAAGTGGTGTGGCCATAACATCAGCAGGAACCATTCCAGGCATGACAGGACTTGGGGTCAAGTAGGGACCGTACGAGGACGATGTTGCAATAGATGGCAGGCTAGTCATGTAAGGATTGGTCGTGGCCTGAAATCAAAATACAATAGACTGAACATTTATACATATATCTTGAATTTCTATACAAATTTTAGTGCAGATTCGTCTGACGAATCTAATGGCATATAAGGTTTCAGTCTGTGACTGTANTAAAAATTAATGAAATTAAACTGTAACTCTTAATGAATATAATGCACATCTGTCTAATTATATGAAAATTAAAATTTATTTTACATTCTAAATATATATATATATATATATAATGCAATACAATAATTGTATTGTATTTAAAGCATTAATTTATATTTTACAAATTTATAATCTGTTATATATAATCTTTATTCATAATCTGTTATAATAAATATCTTTGTGGCAAGTTGAAATGAAAACAAAAGTTTATACATATTTAAGGTATTGGAAAATAAAAACCTTTAATAATAATTAAAACAATATCTGTTATTTAATATAAATTTTCAAAGAGAGTAAATATGTAACAATGTTAATCTGAAAATAAGATATGTTATCCAATTACTGGAACATTTTGATGATATAAATCATTGATGTTTTTGCTTATAAAAGTGGAAAAACAATACTTTACAATATCAAACACAATTCTGTTTTATGATTTAAGATGTTATTTCTTTTATGACAGATTGGGTTAATGTATTTTATTGGTATTGCATCATACATGATAAAAAGCAATTCATCTGTAAATTATAAGAGATAACAAATGTGTGGCAAAACAACCTATCCAGTGAAAAATATTCATTTATTTATAGTAATGCTCGATTTTATTTAATGTGTTATTACAATGGTTTATGTAGTTGAGAGTGAAGAAGGGATAAGTTTTAACATCTCCCAAGACCTTTCAGACCAAATCTATTCTATGTAATCACACTTTCTATCCGTATGCCATAAATACTTTATTAAAGACACTGTGGTGTATTCCTATTAATAAATAACGATACTTTCTACCAAGATCGTCAACTTGGGATGCTCTAAAAAAAAAGAAAGGAGAAAAACATTAAAAACCGATGCTGTGTTACCATCACGATTTTGAATACCGCTTCCGTTCTATTTTTGTTCAAAGAAATGCAAAATATTTAATTTGTTCATATCTCTATGTTGTAAAGCTTTAAAGTAATGTATTTATTTATTTTTAAAATCCTGATTTCTTAGATTTATTGCAGTCGTGTACAAAGACAGTTTTCAAATTTTTATAACTGATAAATTGCAAAGTTGAAAAGCTTTTGTGAATGAGGTTCATTGTTTATTGATGAATTTCAGTGAGTAAATCAAATAATGGAACGTGTTTTAACAATTATTTTATAATCTGTAGTTATATATTTTCAATTAATTTTATTAGTTAATGTTTCTGAAATGAGCAGAATTAATGGTCTGATGATATTTGGGTCAAAGATATATCCACTGGTACTGCAGGTACTGCTTGTTGTTTTCAGATTTTATTGATTAATGTGCAGAACTTTTGGACTTGAAAATTTTTTTTAACACGCCAGGGCATGTGAATAATTTCATTACCAATACCTGTAAATCAAATGTTTCGTTAAGTATATAACAAACTTCCTCTACAAACTGTCAGAATAACAGATATCAAAGTGATTATTTTTGATTGTGTAAAAGCAAAGTAGACAATCTAATCTCCGTATGGGTAACATTCCCGTGACAGATAGAGTCCAAAGAATAAGGATTTATGTCTATCTGACTTTACTATACTATTTTATAGCGGTCAGTGTGGAGTTAATGACTGCACTCTTTTTCCCCACTCGTCCATTTTGGTCATCAAGGTAAGGATAAAGAGCCCTTGCCCCCCTTTTACGACACGGTAATTACTCCCTCTGGCGGATGTCTAGCGAAGCTTCAGACAAAGTCGTAAAAAGAACAGATACTAAGAATGGCTTTGGGCGGAGAAGGTATCTAATCGTTTGCTTGTGTGAATTGTCTCCTCTCTTATGACTACCAATGTAAACAGCAGAAAAGGATAAGAGAGCACAAGAGTAATATCGAAGACGTGTACACAGCTAAGATTGTCCTGTTATGTCTCGTAAGGGAGCGCAACTTTGCTATTACTTTCTTTTCCTTTCTGTCTTACAGGTGAAATTCAATTTTCTTCCTCGTAATTCTCTCTAATAAGTTTATTTCTAGAAACAGTTTATACATTTTTATAGTTTGCAACATTTGGAAAAACATCTATTGAAAATTTCTCTCTTATTTTATCCTATAAAATATTATTATTATTATTAAAAACAAGTTATTACTTTTTATCTGTCAAATTTCTTATTATCTTGAGTTTAAAAAGAAAACGGTCTATCTTGATTTGTTATATACTTATGTTTATCCTATTAAATCATAATAATTAATATTTATAAATTCGAATCAATTCAATAAATTTAATTTTTAAAATAAAAATTTCATTTCATCTCATAAAGGAATTATTCTTTTAGAAGAGAGATGGTTAATATTTATCAATTCATTCATTTTTCTTTGCATTTTCAGATTTTGTATTCTTCAAAATAACAATTTCAATATAATTCGTACTTCATTTACGAAAATTGTTTAATTTTAATTAAATTCATTTCGTTATTCTAATCCGTAGGGGAGCGTAATAAATATTACAACCCGCATTTCAAGAATCGATTAATAGAATCCTAAAATTAGTTTCCTTCGTGGAAAAAGAACCGAATACCAGGAGTTCTGTCACCATCCCCGATAACTTTGCAACGGTAAAAATTGGGAAAATATCCTTTAAAACATTTGTGAAGGAATCAACATGCTGTCCGCATTCTTCGCTTAATTGACAGGTTACTATGTATGGTACTATTATTATTATTATTATACCTTTGCAGTTACGCTTCATTCATCTTCAGTTAAGCTGACAGTTACGAAATAACAAGACTTAAACCACTTCAAATTATCTTCTTTCAATAGATCTAATTAATCATTAAAGTCCTGAAATTCTTGAAGGCTTGTCATCATAGTAATATAAACAATATTAATGAAATAAATGTTCTACTTTAAGTACCCAAAGAGAAAAATTTAACTATTTATCGGGTCATTCTCAGCTTTACAATATATTTTTAGATTTACAAAATTTAAATAGCTCTTGTGCAAAATGTTTTCAATTATTTGAGTTGTCGGTTATCAAATTCGAATTTTAAATTATTAATTAAGCTTTATAAAGATAGATTAAATTAATGAAATCTAAACTCATAATATTCTATAAGTGTTCAACGAACTTTTATTTCATTATTATTATTTTTAATTATTTTTCCGGAGATCTCGTTTTTCTGGATAAATAATTAGGATCGTACCAAATTTCTTTTTAGAATGTTCTACTTATCCAATAGTAGCATAACGAGAGGTTGATTGGTTTATACTTTATTGCTCTTGATTTTTCTTGACGATTCATTGTTTGGCTCCACTGTTATGTAGCGAAATTTATTGAATTCGTACACATTTTTCCATAAGTCACTCCATAAACTTAGCCCCTGTTGTTATCGATGAAAGCAAAATATTTTTGGAGACTTTCAAATCATGGAATTAATTTTTTTAAAAAAAACGTATAAATTAGATATTTATTTGTTTTATTTAAAATGATAATGAAACCTAGCATATCTTGAAGTTCAACTAACTTTCTGACCAGATAACCAGGTGACCAAGCAGTCTACAACAAAATTGACTCTAAATTACGATGGTGAAATGAATTTCTGTACTGTGCATTCGAAATTCTTGAGAATCTTTTCTTGATATTTCTATATTTATTGTATCTTAAAGCACTACAAACAAAACTTACATAAACCTATTGTTACCAACTTTATTTATCTAACAGTAAGAGTTTCAAAGTTACTATAGTAAATAATAAACTAAATCATACTGATTATATATTGTAGGTATATCACTTTATGCTACATCCATAAATAGTTTTCGATCTTCAAAGAATAGCAGTTTATGACTTTGCAGAAAATCTAAATCAAAACTTCTATAAATGATTGATAAAATTTATTGTATCATTTCTATTTTTGTATGTAATAAATTTTAACAAATTGATTTCTTTTTCCATTCTTTAAGATTGATAGAAAGTGCCCTTTATACATTGGATCTATTACAGAACAGAATGGGAAAGGAAGATTCAAACCAAATTATCCATAAAAAATTTTGAAGAATAGATTCCGAATGGTGCAGATTCGATGGCCTTAAATTTTGATTATATCACACAAGTCGAGCCAATAGATTATAAGGTTTGAATCACTTCCGAAATGCCCTCACCTATTTCCATTGATTGGTAGTAGAACTATTTAAATGTGAAACCGATCTCGTCATTAAACATAAGGACTTGATTATTGAAATTTAATAAATATTCTGTATTCATTATCATAAACTTCAGCAATTAACCAAGGGCTATAGACCATTAATTAGATCAGTTCAAGTCGAATTGATTAATTGAATAAAAAATGAGCGCTAGAAGCTATCCGATTCTATATTTTTCGGGTGTTAGAACGTCCCGCATTATTTAAGATACGTTAAAATTGAAGAAGAGAGAAAGTTTTAGAATTTTTGAAAATTAGCATTTTGTAAAATATGTTTAGATAAATTCTCGACTGATGCATTTATCATCTCGGCATTCCGCCTCTTGATCCATATTAATTTAAACTTTAAAGAGTCTATCGCAATAAATGATTAGTGTTTCAGAAAGACACAAGCATAAATTTGAAGTTTATATCATGAACTATGTTTTTAATAATGTAAAAATCAGTTTAAAAACTGATCAATGTAATATGAAAAAGTCAGATATTATAAATAAAATTAGTCAGATGGATATAATTTCAATTGATTTAATTTGTAAAATCATGGCAGGTAGTCTACAGCTCATTGATCAATTACACTCAGTTAATTTCTAATACATAATTGTTTAAACTTTCTAGCACTGTCTACATCAGTGGTTCTCAATCATTTTGACTAACAAGTAAGTGGCACATACACAACATTTAGTATCACACTAACGAACCAGTGTC